GTGCCGGTTTTCCTCGAAAGCTATTTTTGTCGCGGTTTGCTCAACAGTTTATTTTGAATACTTATTAGACTAACAACTACGTGGTAGTTTAGTCGTTCTATTAGTGTAGTAAGATAGCACCTTAATGTGGCGACTTTATTATCCTAATTATGTTAAATGTATTGTTAGGCAACTAATACGCTAGCCCTATTCGTAAATCCAAATGCGTATAACTGTAATAAATATGGTGGATTTGGTGGAAATATTGAAGATGATCCAAATAATTGTTAAACTGGAATAACAGAGATGATATAACGCAACTCATGTAAAGGCTACGTTAACATGTGGGTTAATGATGAACATGAAAATTGAAAAAGGAGCGTTTAAAAAAATTATAATTTTGGACGTGACTTATGGAGCTACAATCAGGGACATAACTGGTATAACAAAATTTCCAAAAGTGGTTGTTTTAGTTAATTTAGTAGCATTCACAAATATGTAGTAATGGTAATCAAAACCAGAAAGTGTCAAGTTAGTGTTCAGTGTAATATAGTTTTTCTGAAAACGACACACTCATAGTAGTGTGTCACTTGAAGTCGTTAAATATCTTATATACCGAAAACAATTTTGGGAGTAACTCATGTGAAATATATACGGCTAGTCTAAGTGAAGACACATATGTCAGGAAGTACCCGAAACATAAAAAATCATTCAACGAAATAGCAAAACTTGCCTGAATCATTTGTCGAATTTTGATCATCTAGAGGATTCGACGTATAAAAACCCAATTGCGACAAATAGTATGGGTCCAAAAAGAATCAGATTAAACACTCAGCATTATAACTAATTCCTGGATGTGCGTGATGTTGTTGACTTGGTCACTTGGTTTATTTAGTACAAATCGAGGAGTCTAGATAAATACGTGACTATCATTGTATGAACAATCTTAAATGAGATTAAGATTGCCGATATTTTATAGCTTAAACTCACCGTAAGTTTCTGCAATATTGTGTCCGTTGTTTGGCAATGGAACCCGAAAATTGGAAATTAGGCAGGCAGTGGTCGAAAGAAAAGATACTAAGGGATGGTCTACAGTTTAAAACAGAGTAGAATGTTAAATGAAAAAAACAAGATGAAGAGTTAGATGCAGATAGCTATCTAGTCCTTGCTTTCACTGTTAGCCAATATGTATTGATGTCGACTATGGTCCATATTTGCTAGGGATTGGTGTTTTAACAAACCTATTTTACTGAAGCATGTAAATGCTACTGAAGCTTGTTAATGAACCATAATAGATCGACATAGACGATCGGTTATTAGTATTGATCTAGCTAGCGAGCTATGAGTATTAATCAATATTGCATCACGATAATGCACGTAAGCATTAACCAACGGATTACTGGAATGATAGGTTAACATTAGTAAAAATCGGTCGATTAAGTTAAAGTGAGTGTGAGAAATAATAATAGGCTGCGTTTCTTTAGTCGGTCTCATTAATATAGAATTATGGTCTAATTTGATAGTAGTACCTTTTTCTTTGATACTATAATAAATTGTAGACTTGTCATGATGTGACTAATTGATCTACAAGATCTTACGTGGATGTCACATCATAGTATATTCTGACACATCGCATGATGAAAATCAGTAAGACACTTCTGAAAAGGACATTTGGCTTGGAGATAGAATAATATATTTAATGTGACCATGGATAAGTTGCACAGTATGACCACGCCTACAAAGTCGAGCCATGACGTATCGATCAAATTGTTTCCGCGTTCACCATTATTGACTTCCTTGAAATATTACGTCATGAGCGTAGATCACAGTAGTTATATGTTGAGTTTCGAGAATCATGTGGTTTGCAACCAATACCATTACAGGTTACCTGTTTATTCATATATGATTCATTTAGACAAACAGGACAAAGGAGCTCATGCGTCTCAAATAGAAAGTAGTAACTACCTATATATATGAACGATTCGGGTTCACCGAACAAAATAGATCAGTTGCATGAAGTAACGCTAATAATACTCATACGGTAGGAATATCTGAAAAATGGGCAACTTCTGAAATTGTTAACTAGGAGCTGGTAGTACTCAGGATGTCTTCGTTGCGCAACGACAGAAAAATAGGAATGGGAAACGGAGCACCTCTGTTCATTGAGATTGTCCAACACCTTAAGGTGTCTAGTTGTGAACATTTTTAGGAAGCCCACGCTGACACAGATTATGAAAATCATATTGTGGAGAGATTATGCCACTCTACTCGTCTGCTTGCGTAGAGAAGGCTGGATTTGGTCATTCTTTGATCGGATGTAAAGTATGAAATGTTTCGTCATCAAGTCCTTAGATTCTCTGAGATGTAACACTTGTACAGGAAAACATATTCTATGTGCAACATTTACGCTCACATCAGTCCTCAAATCACTGCTAAGGATATCAACGTGTTTGCGTTCTTGAATTCAAGGCATTATTGCCTCTTTGATGGTGTATCGTTGTCTTAAGCATTGAAAGTGCATTTTTTAGTTCTTTTGGAGCTTCAATATAGGTACAAGCGCTTGCGCATTCTATGAACTTCTCTTTGTCAGTGATTTACTAAGCAAAAGAATTTGCTTCGTAGATGTATGATATAGGTGGTAAAATTGCTCAGTTAGACGACATATTTTAACAAAGTTTACAATAGTAGAATAGCCTTCTCAAAGTGACCAAGTTATTAGTTTGATATCCATCTACTTGTCTCTGGTGAAACATATATGTTGTTCGCTATTTTTAGCTTGATCACTTAAGACGGATGGATTAAGTAATGTATATTTGATCAATTTTATTAACTGTCATATTCGGTATTATTAAACAGAAATAAAGTGTACAGGGACCCAATGAGTACTATTGAAGCAAAGTATTAGTAGTGTTGAACAGAAACCGGAATTAGACATCTTAGTAACTAAATCGAAAGTAAATCAATATTTGCACTAGAATTAACAGTAACAACATCAGTATGAAAGAAGTTAAAATTTTCATTAAAATAGACTAGTTTCCATTAGATTGAAATGATTCCAAACTGTTCAGAGTACCACTTAGTCAATGTGTTCAAGATATTTATAGATCGATTTGCAAGGGAAATATGATTGACAGAAGAAAAACGAGTAGAAGAGTAAACAAAGATAGGCAAGAAAAATGATTCATATATAATGTATCCTAATTAATCTATAAGTGATATCCATATACGTTGTCAGATCTTGCCTCTAAAATGAGCATACACGGATATGGATTGAGTATTTATTCATCAGAAACCATGCCATTGTACACCCAATCCACGTAAATAGAGGTAAGCGAGACTAATCGATAAAATGTTTCCTTGCCTTATATATTCATTCATTGCTTCAAACAAATGAAGACAGTAAACGAGTGTGCATTTACGTACCCCTCATCTTCTTAATGAAATCTACGGTGATTTCAGCCACATCAATTGAAGAGCGTTTCAGGTAACAAAGACTCGTTATGGTCAAAAATTAAACCTCAGCTGAATGTTCACTTAATTCTGAGTTCTTCAACGGCTACCTTTGGTATTTCTGTGGTAAATTTAAAGTATTGATACCTTACTGTGGTAACCTAAACTACTTAAAAACATGTAGGCTATGAAAAAGTAGCTCTTTATCATATGTATGCTAGCAAGAACAGTCTCAGCCTTGTGTGCGATTCTCAGATGTTTTATTTCTGTAACCTGTCATCACGTCTGTTGCACTACCATGAATTGGTACCAAATGATCCCCGTCATATTTCATTACAGTAAACGTAGGAATCAGGTCATAAACAGCGTTAAAAATAATTTGGCAGTCAACACACAAAGCTGACTTCTAAAAAGTGAAGCTTAACCCAGATTTTATTTCATTCTATCAGATATTCAGTAATAGTGTACTGAGAGTGGAATATCCTTACAATCGATTTGATCCAGTCGAATTAAATTTAATCGATCTTGTTGCAGAATTTTGAGAGCTTGAATTCCTCGTTTTACACCTGTGAAACTGATTTGCATTCACTTCATGAGTATGATAATCCTCACATACTTTAGCGAGATCGGTAAATAGTGCATTTACAGGTATGTTCTTATCACAACAGTCTGCTTAGCTATTCCAGTTTCTTGTGAGGTCTGCCTTATTTGTATCAATATTGCACTTCATGGAATAGCTTGTTCTCATCAATGAATCTTATAATTTAACGATATATAGGCTGTTGAATAACTTCGATAATATTCAAAATCATGTAACTGGGCTGTAGGAACTTCAGTGATTTCTACCTGTAATCCTGGATTAGCAGTACATCCAAAAATAACAGAAATATGGTACTGCTTACTTAAATTACATAACAATGATCAAAACCATGACTAATATTAGCTAGATGACTAGTCTTTTACTGATCAGTTGTATTTATTTTGCAGTATTATTTTTGATTCACCTAATTTCAATTTCTTAATTTGATAGATTCATCATCATGATAGGCTAAATTTTTTAGATACTGAAACACAATCAAATCGCATAAAAAGTAAATATGTAAAATTCACTTGATGTTGTTTTACTTATAAGCTCTCAGTGTTATTTAGGACTGCAATTAATCAGTCTCATGTTGGCGTATGTGCATCCTGTGCGGATTGTCTCGGTATAGCCTTAAGTCACAAGCTTTTAAAGTAAAGATGAATAGTGGCTAGAAGTGGAATCCAGGAGGCGCGTTTCGTCTTATTCGGGACTCGTCAGCTGGATGCTAGAAGAAAGATTCAACATGGACAAACTCATGATAGCATTTTCTCATTGAGCGTTATAACTAACAAGAATGAACTGATGTATACGTTTATGTATATCTATTTGATGATACGATGAAAATTTGTAGAATAGTGAAACAAATACTAAACAATTTGAACAACTAAATTCATGAATAAAAGTACGATTGAAATACAGATTTGGGTGGTGGTAGTGATGTTAGGGGGTAAAAAGTGCAAACAATAAATGATGATAGAGAAGTTTTGTCCTTTTTACGACCAAGATCACCGATAAGGGAACATATTGAAAATATTGAGAAAAAAGAGGAAATTTGATAAGTAACTTGATCAATGAAATGAATAAATAATAAGTAAACATATTGACTTAACAAGAATGAAAAATAAGCCTAAACTAAATGCCATTATAGAGATCATTTACCATAATTATCAGAAACAAATGAGTAGAGTAAAGAAAGTCAATGTGTCCATGTTGTCTTATATGAGTTGTTGTTGTTTTTCTTCTTCTTCTTCTACATCATCTCCTTCTTTGTTGAATTCATTCAGATACTTTTCATTTTCATAATTAGAATTATTTTTTATTTCTTCAATTAATTATTTAAATTTACATGATCATCAGTATCATTTTCACTGCATGAACATTGAAAATCATCATCATCTTCTTCATCAGATCCTAATGGATTTTCATATAATTGAATTGTTGGATTACATAGAATTGGTGATCCACTATTAAGATTATCATATATTGATGATGACATATTCAAAGAGGCATCATAACGCTATGAAGAAATATTGAAAAGTAAACAGAATAAAATATGTTAGTTAAACATTGCTAATAGGAAATCCCACTGTAGAACAGAACATCACTTTCTTAGCTCAGTTCTATACGTATGTTGACATTTACGTTCAATACGGCTATCAGTATCAAATTAGGAAGAGACAGTTATTCAGTCTACCATGTTTCATAGCATTTACCTATCTGATGAAGAAAGTATTCAATATCTTGAATCAGAAGTTAAATTATATCATATTTCAATGCTTGAAATCGCGTTTAAATGCCTTATAAAAATTCAAAAACAATATGCTCTCATAAACTCTGAACTACTTTACCATCTTCTAGGTTATTATTGTAATCCAAACAGTGATGAGGTTATGGATTCAGTCATTATTTAAAAGTGAGTGATTAGAGTTTTGCAGCTATGCACAGTTGTTTAAAACAAATGAATGATGATGTAGTAGAACTATGTATGACTGAACTGAGTCTTATGTTTAAAAATAAAAATTTCTAAGTGTCAAATATCAGAGGTTATCAAGGGAGAACTAAGCAGAGATGAGGTGCGACGAATTAAAGTATAATAATATGTTTTAGATGCGTTATTTTTAAAGGTTTAAATTCCGAAACGTCGATTGAAAATCTTGATACAGGAATAAATATTAAAGCTTAGAGTTTGTGTGTAAACGTACCGTTAGTTAGTTTTACTTGAATTGACGGAAATACTTGTATAGTATGTGCTTTTTCATTCACATAGGCGTGAAAAACTTCCCTTGAATTACATGGGAAATTCCAAAACAGTTCACATTGCACGAATATAGCTGTGCGAAGTTGTGTGTTATAAGTTATTTGTATTACTTACATAAATGAAATAAACTTAAGAACGTCAAACGATACTTCATTCTACTCCGTCGTAGTGACCGCGTACACTTAATGTAGCGCATCTTGCAACTGTTGAAGGATAAGCACATTTAAAGATAATGTAATATTGTCCACGTTGACTGAGTAAACATATGAAAAATGATCACTATGTAGTGAGTTCTTTTTAGTTTTAATCCGATTGACTCGGTGCTTTTGATCTCTGCAAATGGTCAAGATCAAGTATTAAAAAGGTTTTAGTGGTCCATAATTAACACCCAGAAACTAGACTCTATACTATACTGGCATAATTAAAAGGGTACTTAAGTGATTTTACTGTTTCAATCCCTCACAAATTCTGCTAGTCATCGACAAGTAGTATTGTCTGAATGCAATTCAGTTGCGCGTTTAGTTGATTTGGAAATGGACACTCACAGTATCATTCTATTCGTGACATTTCGTAAGACAGAAACATTTTGAGTCCCTTAATTGGATGGAGTTCGAACGTGGGTTAATCTTACGAAGTCGCAGCTCTATCATGCTGTAGACCTAGTGGAAATTAATAGACACTCGAAATTCAGATATTTGGGCACCCAAATTTAACCTATGTGGAGGTCATACAGTTGATGATATATTCATGCCCACCACTAAAGTGTTCTTGCACCACCACAAACTTCACCCAACTTCTGTGTGCCGAACAATACCAAAAGCCACTTTCTCTGATTCGAGAAATCCGTTGGGTTGTTTATTAAACCTGAACATGCTCTGACAATCTACTTGAGTCCGTCCAATTGATATCTCGTCCTCACGATGAAGTGTCGATATGTAAAACCAAAACCATGAGCACAGCACACAAAAGACGGACGATTAACTCTCATGGTGACGAATGGTGTTCTACGTGTGTATTGAAGAGTACGTTCGTGAGTGAGATCCATTGCAGTGTATGTTTACAGATTCATATGTTGAGAATACTTGGTAGCTGACGTCCAGCTGCGAATGACTATGATCACCACTACAACTAGATTACGTGCCAGTTACCAGATTGTGCCAAAAGCCGCAAGCGAGACCGCTGGGCTACGAGAGTTCGTTCAAGGTCCCAAACAACGCAAGGGTGTGTTTTTGTTACACTTAAGCAAAGAAGTATGGTGAAACAACCACTGGTACAGTAGGTTACAATAATAATTGTTTCAACTATATCAATCGCGTTCTCTTCACCAATCTAGGTCACTACGAGCTATAGCGAAGAATAAGTCTAGTATATCTGGAATTACTTTTCATCGTTCATAAAAATGAACCAAGCACGTACCAATGGCTCTTGATCCTCTACTCAATGTAATAAGAGGAAATGTTATTAGTGTCGGGAATCAGATAAGGTTGATTGGGAGTTTCACCAATTATTTCTGAACCGTGAGTATATATGGATTTATGATAATCGTTTGGTTTATGGCAATCGTGTTTTCGCACCTGAATCTCTTCAGTCGTTTGTGCTTAAAACGTTTCATATTGGTCATTCGTGAATGAACATACTGATGGCCATTATGCGTAGTTATGTTTATTGGTCATTCATGGATAAGACTGTGAATGAACACGTATTGAGCTGTTGTCGATGTGCTGAAGATGCGAACAATCCACCGAAAGTAGAATCCCAGACATAAACGGAAACGAACAAGCCTTGGGTTCGAGTACACATCGATTATGCTGGACCAATACACGGACAATATTTTTTGTTGGTGATAGATTTATACTTCAAATGGCCTGAAATCTATGTTGTGCGAAGAACATCTATATCCGAAACACTGTTACACTATAGACTCTTATTTGGTAGGTTTGAAACACCTAATGTTTCGATTCCAAATAACGGACCACAAATTTTGTCGCCAGAGTTTCCGAAGTTCTGCAAACAAAATGGGAAAGAACATATCGGAACTCCACAGTATCACCCTCAGTTAAACGGGCAAGCTAAGAATGAAAGAGAATTTGCGTAAGGAGTCGCAAACCGCGGAAAAGTGTAATGGAGAGTAATGCAAGAGCAATATGGCTGTCATTAGCACAGTTAAACAAACGAGCACAGTAAAACAATCACAAGTGCAATTGGTTATAATGATAATTGTTTTCATTAAATCAATCGCGTTCTGTCAATAAAAGTATGTCAATACACAGGAAAGCCAACATGGATATTTGGGTGCATAATAAAAGATGTGGGACGGTATTGTATGAAATCATGGTTGAAAATACACTAATCATCTGACACACAATCCAAATGTGAGATAGAGAAAATCTTAGTGAGTCATCCCGGGCTAAATTTTTGCTAATGAAAATATCATATGATACATTTAATTATCCCTACCACCACCACAAATTGAGATGAGAAAATGTAAGCTGAAATCGGAAGCCAGTCGAAGGTTATCAAGAGAACGGAATCAAACGAGACGTTTTTCAAATAGATCCGAATGTGAAGTCATATGGTCAAACATCGCGTGGGTAGTGATGTATGTGTAAGATCCAAACTGAAGTTTGGACTAAAGAATAGCTGTCTAGGTGGGTTAGATACGCGCCCTTACCCAGTTGAAACCAAAACAAAGTGATTGGGTAAAATGACGGTTCTGAAATTCATTATAAATTTAAGTGTATATTGTTATTTAAATAAATATGACCATCCAGCTATCCAACCAATAATTGTTCAATTGATCAAATCTAAGTTACAATAAATAAGGAAGTTGATAAAGGATGCGAGAAAATTACCAATCGCAACGAATAAATGTTATTTTATCCTGTCTGGATTGACCACGCACAGACTTGTTCAAAAGACAATATTTGGTTGCTTTATAACACGGAGTGCTTCCAATTCTGGAGGAGTGCTTCAATTCACAATCAAAAATGCACAATTCCAGTCAATACAAGCAACACAATCAAAAGGAAGAACAGATCAATATGGCCTCCGCCAGGACTAAGTATCAAGTAGAACAACATAAATGCAGATCAGGAAGAAACATCGAAGCTCAGTGAAGGCGTAAGAAAAATAAAAACTATAATAAAATACAAATATTATGATGTTCACGGAATCGCTCGCTTGCTTGTTCGTCGATACACGCATATCATTCTTGCTTTGTGTGTTTGTAGTTTTGCTGATCTATGTGTGGTGCGATAGTAAGCGGAATCAACACTTCATATTCGTCTTCTGATTTGATCACCGTTGGGTGTTGTCTAGTAAAGGTTATTGGGACGAGCAGTATACGAAGTTCAGGAATTATATCGAATGTTTACCACTACAGGTTTTATTATATTCAAAACAATTTAAAATATAAAATAACTTTGTAGTGTGCAATGTTCATGTAAAATCTCCAGGGTCAGTGAAATGACACCAGGCTTTAGCCAAATCACTCGATAGTCCGGTCACTAAATATCGAACACTTTACCAATCCTAGACAAGATGAAGGACAAACAAAGTGCATCATATAATTACACGCTGTGAAATGGCCATTTCGGGGGTGGTCTACCTCTGTCCCCTACATCTACGCTATCGACCATATTTCTGTAACGACGTCGTTTGTGTTTTACGTCTCCAAAGGAGTCATAGTATCAGGATACGAGGAAAGAGTATTCTTAGTTAAATACTAACCTTGAGGCATGACTTCGACGCCTTTCAAATCTAAATAGAGAAGACATGTGTTACTGAGATCATCTTACTTTGATATTCTTACCAAAGACTGAAATATCAACTATTGGTTGAGTATTGTAGTTTCTGAATGAATCGTTACTCGATACTCAATAATATTCAGCTCATTTAAGCAATACTTTTTGTTTTTCTGCTTAACAACCGAACAATTACCGAGACGTCTTGTAGATTTCCGATTTCAAGCATTAGTGATAATTGTATTTGAAGAACTATTTGAATACCTTGAGAGGTATTGTATGAATATATGGAAGATTTAAGAACTGTTTACAGACATTATCTCACCATCATCTATAAGATACAAGTGTTTATTAACAGCTGTTTACGCAAAATAATTTGGATCCGTTGGGCAGACACTATCAGTAACAACCTAATGTGGGAGAGAACAAACCAGAACAAACCAGCGGAGAAAGAAATCAGGAAGAAGCGCTGGAAGTGGATAGGACACATTTAATAAACAGTACTAATGAATAATA